GAAACTCACCATCCTGCACACCAACGACATGCACAGCCGGCTGGAACAGACCAGCGAGGACTCCAGCAAGTGCGTGAACCCCAGCCGCTGCGTGGGCGGCATGGCCAGGCTCGCCACCCAGGTGCAGCGCATCCGCAGCGCCGAGCCCCACGTGCTGCTGCTCGACGCGGGCGACCAGTACCAGGGCACCATCTGGTTCACTGTGTACAAGGGAGCCGAGGTGGCGCACTTCATGAACGCCCTGGGCTACGATGCCATGGTAAGCCGGTGGCAGGCTCGGGAGACTCGGGAGCCCGGGTAGGAGTGGGGGGCGGACCCAGGGAGAACCCGGGGTGGGGAGGGGCCGGCGGCGGGGCGCGGAGTGGCAAGGCTCGCGCTGGGAGCGAGGCGGGGAGAGGGAGACCGGTCAGTGTGCCAGGTAGATACAGACGCAGAAGTCTCTCGGAAGATACGTCTTAAACGTATTGAAGGTGGGCCCCCACCGTGAGATTTGGGTATTTAGAAGAGCAGGACCCAGCCCTGCCTATCAGAGGGTTCAGCTGGGGTGCGTCGGAGTTTGACCATTTTCCAGGGCCAGGGACCCAAGTAGACCTGTCACGAATCCCTCTCATTTACTGCTCCAGCTATCAAAGAATGCTTTATCTCGATTTCGTTGGAAGGAAAACTCGGGGTCAAAGACTTTGAGTACATTATCCAGGGCGCTAGCATCGAAAGAGGGAGATGAGATTAGTGGCTTCTAGAGCCCTTTGACCCTGGAGCTTGACCTTGACTTTAAGTTCACAGCCTTGGGGTAGATTCCCTGCTCAGCTACTTTATGGGTGCAAGCTGTTGGCTCTCTCCGTGCCTCTGTTCCAGCCTCTATAAAGTGGGGATAAGAACTGTGTCTACCTCGGGGGTTGCCTGGCACATAGTACTTGCAGCCTCTATAAATGTTAGGTTCTGACTATTACCAAACACTGCTGTGTAAATTTAAGAAAAGAAAGAAACTCCCCGAGAGGACCAAAATGCTGGAAACACTGGGGTTTCAAAGGATTTCAATAAAATCAGTTTGGCAGCAAAGATATAGGAAGAGTCCCGCTTTAGAGATGAGGAACTCCTAGAACATGTGCAAGAGTTTAAGTCCAAGCTCCCAAGTGCTCTGTTAAAGATGATGCCTTATTTGCTGGACTGATTTTTAGAAAAGGAGCGGAGCGGGGTTACAGAGTAATAAATAAGTGTAACCAAAACATATATACTATCTGTTTTTGTTTGTTTGTTTGTTTGTTTGTTTACANGTAACCAAAACATATATACTATCTGTTTTTGTTTGTTTGTTTGTTTGTTTACGCAAACCACCGCCACCCAAGTTTAACCCTGTGTAAAATCCTAGAGTAAAGGAATTCTGTGGAGAAACTAGGAACAAGAAATCTTAGGAGCTTCGGAAGAGAAAGAACAGAGCAAGGGGCCAGGAAAATGCACGCATGGGGAAGGGAAGGAGAGGTGTGGTCCAGTCTGGGACACAGAGGCCCAACAATATACTTTGTATGAGAAGAGCACAGGGGTCAGCAAAGCACAACGCTGTATTTTTTCCTGGAAACTTGGAGTAAGGAGGACAGGAAAAGATGATAGGACGGTAGAGCTGTTTGGTTTTTTTGTTTTTTTCTTCAACGAGAAAGCTCATTTTAGGGAGATGAGAGAAGGGCAGAGAGCTCCTCTCCATTCTGATTGTTAGTTTTAAGGTTATCAGAACCGCTCAAAGCAGCAGCAATTCAAAGGGATCCCTAAGTTGCAGGGTTTACCTGAGGGGCTCACTAGCCTGGACTCCACAGAAGAACTGAGGGTCTCAGGAACTCTGTGTGGTCTCAGCTTTGGTGTCTCCACAGCTCCACCTGCCTGATGCTTTGTATACAGTAATGGCAGGATAAATATTTATCTAATTGAATTGTTACTAGCCTACTTCTCCATTTCCCCTCCAGAAGAGTAGAATAAACCTTACGTGAGTTTGTTTTGATTTCACATATAAACCACAACTTTGTAAACTTCTCTTTCTGTGACACCCTTTTCTCCCCTGTTGTGTAAACGCCTTTTGATTGGGGGGGAAGGGGAGAGGATTCATAGTTTTCTCTAATGATACTATTTTCTTCTTTAAGTCAAATTGAGCTCGTGGTGTTAATCATCTTATCAGGTGTTTATGATAGGACTCTGGGTGAGGCTGGGGCAGTCTGCAAGCTCCAGCTTATTACTACCAGGAATGTTTAGAATGCTTTCAGTTGGATGGAATTATTTTCTTTTAAATATCACCCAAAGTGAGTGTACTGGGGCTTGAGGGAAAATAACCTACATACATAGTTGGCAAGATGGAAAGAGGGTGCGGAGCTCCAACAGTAAGGCTGGCTGAAAGCCACTTTCCTGATAACATCACATTGGAACTTTGTGTAATTTTGGGGTTTGATGAACATAATTTGATCTGCATAAAATCCTAGTTTTTGTAATGCTTTCACGTGTGCTAAAACTCTTTCCTATTCTTGTTTTACAGAGATTTTTCACTGCCATTTTGTTTATACTGCTCTCGGGGAACTTATTAATGTTCTGCTATAAAGGTTCCCCACCCACCCAACTACCCGCCACATAATGAATCTCAGGAAGCTGGAGATTCTGATCAGAGTGGAAAACATTTGTGGAGGGGTAATCTCCACTTCTCTAAAAGCCCGATCTAGTTAGAGGAGCCACAGATCAAGACTCAGGGGTGTGGGAGGCAAAGAGGAAGTTACTAGAACCCAGCCAAACCCCAGGAGTTTCCCTCCAGCAGAGTCTTTGAGGAGGTGTGGACTTCCTAGACCTGCTGCATCCTGGTGAAAGCTGCTGGAGCAGTTCTGATAGCCCTGCAGGTCCCAGGGTGAGACCTCCTGGACCCACTGCTAGACAGACAGCTCTAGAGGGAGGACGTCAGAAGCAGTGGAAGGACTGGTGTCCCCAGGCAGCAGGAGGACAACATGGATGCGCTCATAGTGTGAGCGAGGCCTGGTTAGTTTCTCTGACCTCATGTTCCCTAACTGTAAAACAGCAGAGATAACCCCACCATGCGCAGAGAATTTTTGTGAACAATACAAGTGATAATTAATATGAAACTTCCCAGCACCTTTGCTGGCTTATAGTAAGTGCTCAATAGACGTTCACTCCATGTGCTCTGCAAAAAAGAAAACAAAAGAAAATAAACAGTTGATAGGAAGGAAAGACTTGGGTTTTGCAACTATCAGTTTATCTGATTCTGACAGCCTGGCACGGTCTGCCTCCCTCCACCATCTTTTCTGAGTCTCATTTTCTAAACTATCCTTAATGTTTACTCATTGAGCAGACAGGAAATCCACCCCCCTGCCCAAGCACAAAGCCAAATGAATTCATCTGTACAAGTGAGATCATCTCTACAAGTTAGATTCTCGCCATCGAGGTAGGTGGGCTGTGAGGAAAATAGAGCTTCAGTAGAGAAGGGCAGCCCCCTTTCTAGCTGCCTTTGATTCTGAGGCCCTGGCCCCTGAGCCCACTTTCTGTCCAAAAGACTGCAGCCTTAGCCTTAAATTGCTCCAAGGTGCCTGAGCCAGTTGCTGGGGTGGGGACCATCGCCCCTGTCTTTAACTCACCCAGAGGATCACTAGTCAGGTACCTATGTCCCACATAGGCAACCATTCTGATGTGTTAGATATTTATATTTTGTTTCTGTGTGTACTTGCAGAACCTTTGTTATTGTTTCAGGTGCTTGTATTTTTCAATTATGTTACTCAGCTCATTCTGGTCCTTACTTTTGTCCTAAACTGGATGTACAATTTATCCCTGTCACTCTGTGTCTGCCATGCACACACATATACTGTGCATCGTGCTCCACGGAGATCCCCACAGACTTTACCATCCCCCCCAGTAATGGGCCCACTTGGAGATCACAGATTATGCTGCAATTCCACAAGCATGCTGTTCCAAATAGCCTCCTGCAGGTCCCGCTGTGAGGATTTCTTTGGGATCAATGCACAAGGGCAGGATTTTGGGCCACAGGCATGTACATACTGACTCTGACTAAAGCCTGCCAGATTGCTTTCCTGAGTGACTATTTGATCTTTGTCCCCAGTTCCTGAGAGTGTCTTTTATATGCTAATAAGATGACTGATGGCTGGGGACCCCTAGATAGCTTTAGAATGAGGGCTGGTGGCCAGAAAGACCAAACCATGATTAGAGGGTTGGAACTTTCAGCCTTCCTTCAGTCTCCTGGGATGGGAGAGGGACCAAAGATCGAGCTGGTCACCAATCGCCAATGATTTAATCAGTTGTGCCTTTGTAATAAACCCTCCATTAAAAAACTCTTAAGTGATGGGACTCAGAAAGCTGCTGGGTTAGTGAACACATCGAGGTGCTGAGAGGGTGGTGTGCCCAGAGAGGTCATGGAAACCCTACACACACCCTCTTGCCTCCTGCATACCTTGTCCTATGTACATCTTCCATTGGCTGTTCCTGAGTTGTATCCTTTATAATACACCAGTGACAGTAGCTAAAGCACTCTCGAGTTCTGTGAGTCATTCTAGCGGACCATTAAACCTGTGGAGGTTTGATAGCTGATCAATCAGAAGTACAGGACTGGCAACTGGCATCTAAGCGGGGGCAGTCTTGTAGGACTGAGCCCTTACCTGTGGGATCTGATGCCCATTCCAGGTAGATAGTGTCAGGATTGAATTGAATTGTCAGACACCCAGTTGGTGTCTGCAGAAAATTGGTTGATGTGAGAAACACCTCTCAGCAACATAGAAGAATCAGAGTTTTGGAAAATGAGCATAAATGGTTGGAAGGAGAAGACACCTCAGAAGAGGCTGAGAGAAGAGATGGGGCAGTAGTGTAGGTGTGAGATGCTGCGAACTGAACTGCAGCGATGGGGAAAGAAAGGCTGAATGGAGGGGAGCCAGGTTCAATAGGCAGGCAGTATGGCCTATAGCTAAAAGGATGAACTCCCTGGCGATTCTGTCTGGAATCAAGTCCTCTCTCTGCCCCTTAGAGTCTATGGTCTGTGAGCAGGTCATTTAATCTCCGGAAGCCTCCATTTCCACATGTGTAAGGTGGGTGTGATGATAGTCTTCACCCCAGAGGTTGTTGTGGGGTTTAAAGGAGATGATGAAGCACGTTAAGTGCTGGGCACTGTGTGGGCCACAGTAAGGGGTCATTAAGTGCTGGCCATGCTCACCTTCTTTAGGCAGGTGTGGCTCAGGAGAGGGTGTAATCAGGAGATGACTAAGAGGGGTTAAG